AGCAGCAGGAGGGATAGTGACTGGGAAGCCCCTTCCTCTGGACCAGGAGCAGTGGGACTCAGTACCTTGGTCTGGTGGTCTGGTGTCCTCTGCGTTTTTGTAGTGTGGAACCAGGTGGCTGCCTGTCTGCAGTGAGCTGATTTGGTGTGATCTGTGAGACTCGCTACCTCGGTAGGGTGTGGGCAGACCTGCCTGTTTGCAGCAGGGTGATTCAGTGTCTTCCACATGACTCGGGACCTCAGTAGGGTGTGCACAGACCTGTCTGTCTGCCACGGGGTGATTCGCCATGTTCCACATGACTCGGGACCTAGGTAGGGTGTGCGCAGATCTGCCTGTCTGCAGCGGGGAGATTCGGCATCAGCTTCTGTCAGACTCAGGACCTCAGTTGGGTGTAGCCAGACCTGCCTGTCTGCAGCAGTTCCCTTATAATTTTGAAGCAATTTTTCTTTTCCAGGTCATTAATTGCAATCTAATGTTCTATATCTGAAATTCTATCCTCACATTGGCTCATTCTGCTGTGTAGACATTCAGTGGAGTTTTTCTTCTCCTGGAAATCTATTTGCATCTGTTTTATGGATTCCATTTGTTTCCTATGTTGTGGTTCCATCATGTTCCTCAGCTCCTCTCTAGATTTATTAATCATGTCTTGCACTAGGAGCACAGTCTCTCCTGTTATCTGAGAAATTATTTCTGATTTCATTTTTTCCGGATCCCCTTTTGTTGCCAGTTCATTGGGTCCAGGTCATTGAGTATGAGAGTATTCCATCTCATTTCCCTTTGGGGTTGCTGTAGGTGATCTGTAAGTCTGTGGAAGGGATGGTTCCCAGGAAGCCACTTCCTCTGGACCAGGAGCAGTAGGACGGCAGCTTAGAAGCCCCTACCTCTGGGCTGGGAGCAGCGGGAGGGAATCTGGTCAAGAAGCCCTTTCCTCTGGACCAGGAGCAGTTTGATGGTGGCTCAGCAGCCCCTACCTTGGGCTGGGAGCGGCGGGACCCAGCACTGTGGTCTGGTGGTCTGGTGTTCTCTGCGTCTTTATAGTGTGGAATCAGGTGGCTGTCTCTCTCTCTCTTTTTTTTTTTTTGGTACTGGGGATTGAACTCGGGTCCTTGTGCCTGCTCAGCAGGCAGCGAAACCATGGATCTAAATCCCAGGCCCAGAGTACAGGTTCTTGAAGTAAGTATTGATGATCCTCTGTATTTTTGCTGGATCTGTTGTGGCTTCACCTTTTTCATTCTTAATTGCATGAATTTGAGCCTTTTCTTTCCTTTTTTTGTTAAGATTGGCTAAGAGTTTATTGATTTTATTTATTCTTTAAAAAATCCAACTCTTTGATTCATTGATGTTTTGTATTTTTCTCTTTGTCCCCATTGCATTGATTTCTGATCTGATCTTTATAATTTCCTCTCCTTTATGAACTTTGGGTTTGTCATGCTCTTCTTTTTCTAGGAGCTTGAGTTTCAGCATTAGGTTGTTTATTTGAGCTCGCTCTGTTTTCATAATATGGGAATTCAGTGCTATGAAATTCCCTGGTAGAACTGCTTTCATTGTGTCCCATATATTCCTGAATGTCATACTGACATTATCATTTACTTGTAGAAATGGTCTATTTTCTTCTTTAATTTCCTCTGTGACCCATTGGTTATTCAGGAGAGTGTTATTCAGTTTCCATGTGTTTCTGGGGGTTTTGAAGTTTCTTATGCTTTTGATCTCCAATTTTATTGTACTATGGTCTGATAATTTACAGGGTGTAACTTAAACTCTTTCGCATTTACTTAAACATGTCCTGTGAGCTATCAGGAGGTCTATTTTGGAGAATGACCCATGTGCAGCCAAAAAGAATGTATATTCTGATTTTGTGGGGTGGAATACTCTCTAGAGATCTATTAAGTCTATTTGTTCAATAGTTTGGTTCAGTTCTAGAATTTCATTGTTGATTTTTTCTCTAAATGATCTATTTGTGACAGTGGCATATTGAGGTAACCCCTACAATTGTATTAATGTTATTTGGTTTTTCATGTCCATTAATATTTGTTTCGTATAGTTGGGGATATTCATGTTTGGTTCATATATATTTATGATTGTCATCTTTTCCTCTTTGATTGTTCCCTTCACAAGGATGTAGTGACTCTCTTTGTCTGTCTTAATTAGTTTTGACTTGAAATCTACTTTGTCTGTAAAGATGATAGCTACTCCTGCTTTTTATCCTCAGCTTTCTGTCACACAGAGAATTGTTTTCCATCCTTTCACTTTCAGCCTATGAATTTCTTTTTGAATTAAGTGTGTTTCTTGTATACAACATATTGTTGGATTTTGCTTCTTAATCCATTCTGCCAATCCAATCTGTTTGATTGGTGAATTGAGGCCATTAACATTGATGGTTATAATCGGTAAATATTGACTCATCCTTGTCATGATATTTTACTGTTGTTGGCTCTTATTTTTTATTTTTCCCCCTTTCCATTTAGTTTCTTGCATTGGCTGTTGGCTTTGCTCTGTTCATGGAATTGTGACCTTCATTGTCTTTTTCTATGATATTGTTTTGTATTGTTTGGAGTGCTGGTTTGGTGTTCATGAAATTATTCAGGTGTTCTTTGTCATGGAAGTATCTGATTTCCCAGGCGATTTTGAAAGATACTTTTGTAGAATACAGTAGTCTAAGTTGGAAGTTATTTTCTTTTAGGGCTTGAAATACCTCACTCCAGGCTATCCTTAACTTGAGAATTTGTGTTGAGAAGTCTGCCGTGATTTTGTTGGGGTTACCTTTGTAGGTGATTTGTTTCTTTTCTCTAAGTGGTTGTAGGGTTTTGTTCTTTTGTTGGGTTTCTGGGATCTTGACTATATTATATATCTAGGTGTAGATTTTTTTGATAGTGGCTAGTTGGAGTTCTATATGCCCCACTTATCTCTATGTCAAATTCTCTACCTCTGTCTGGGAAATTTTCTACTATTAGTTCTGTGAACAGTGTTTTATGTCATTTGTACTTTCTCCTGCTTTTTCGTGGATTCCTATCAGTCTTATGTTATTCTTCTTTGCAACATCTAGCAGCTTCTGGATTGATTTCTCATGGAACCTTGCTATTTTTAAGAAATCTCTGTTTTCATGGCCTCTAACTGCAATCCTGTCATCTATATCTGATATTCTATCTTCATGTTCTCTCAATCTACTGTGAATACTTTCAGTGGAATTTTTAATCTCCTGGATATCTGTTTGAATCTTTTTCATGAATTCCATTTTTTCCTATGTTGGGCATTCATTGTTCACATTTCTTTCTTATGCTGGACATTCATGGCTTCCAGCATGGTTCTGAGCTCATCTATTTTTTTTTATCTGCTTCTGTTCTAGAGCCTCTAATCATGTCTTTCACTCTGCTCATCCTCTCTGTAGTTATCTGGGAAATTATTTCTGTTTTGATTTTTTTCAAGAGCCTCATTGATCTGTTTTGTTATTTCCTGTGCTATCATTTCAGGGTGTCCAGGTGGTTGATTATATTTTTCTGCCTTATTTTCCCCTGAATATGCCTTTGGTGAGCTCAAAGTCTGGGTTTGTGTCCTGCCAAGGTGTCTTATAATTTTTAATTGTGTTGTTGGTACTGTTTTTTGTTTTAATTCCTGGGCTGATACTTCAATATTTCTTATGTCTTTATTACTGGTGTTTAGAGCCCCTATGGAGTGATTGCTTCTCTGAGATATCTTCCAGGTAGATCTGGACTTTTTAGACTTTGAGATTCTAATGACTCTGAGGCAATTTTGTTTTCAGTATACCAGGGAGGGCAACTGATTAGATCGACTATGACACCTTAGCCCAATTGACACAATCAGCATCAAACACAGCATAGACAATGACAATTTTTGTATCAGTTTTTCTGTCTCCTTTAACCATATGAGCTAGATCAAAATCTAGGGCCAGCCCATAATAAGTTTGTAGTAAGTAAACCCTTCAATATGGCAAATTTACCCTTTGGGATAAGGATTTAGAAGGGGTTGGGGAGGGAGGAATAGAGAGATAGAGGGAGAGGGAAAGGTTCAAGGTGGGGTAGAGGACATTGAAAAATCATGAAAATTGTGGAGATCTGTTGATGATAGGAGGAGAAGACAGAGTGAAAGAATAGAGGCAAATACAGAACAAACTGACAAGAATAAGGAAGCTAGAAATTGTATTCAGCTTCCTATAAAAGTGATGGTGGAGAGGACAGAGAGAGAAAAACAGTTCAGAATGGGACAGGAACAGGAACAATGAGGGAGAGAAATATAGAGCCACAAGGGAAAGAAAGAACAAAAAAGAAAGGAAATATATATATATAATAAAACAAACAAACAAAAATGGTCTCCCTCAGGATATGTCTCTGCTGTCCTGGTAGACAATGTGTAAGAGTCTAAGCTGGTTAATCTCAGCAAGCCAGCTGTAGTCTATTGATATTCAGGCTGATTTCTAGCTGCAAGATCCAAGTTGAGGTCCCTGACTTCCTGCAGGATTAAACTCTTCAAGGTTCTTCTGCAGGTTTCAGCTGTCCTCCCCACTATGTGAGCCCAGGTTTCTGTGGGAGGTGCTGATCCCACCAACTTACCAACCACGATGGTCCAGTGTGCTTTTATTGAAGAGATTTTCTTCACTTTCCCAGTGGGCTTCAATTTTCATTGAGGAGCCACAGAGAGGCCCTCTCTGTTCTTTACTTCTGCCCTATCTTCTGGGGCTCATAACCATAGCCTTTATATTCCCCCTGGCACCTCTGCTGTGTGGATTCAGATACTAATGGGCCCCATGGGGCATGATCTTGTGGGGCAACTGGTGGTGTCCCTGGGGCCCATTTACTGTTTCTTATTTGAAGAATTTATTCTACTTATATGCAAGTTAGTTATTGACAGGTCATGTATCACTATAGCCATTTTGTAACTTGTTTTCTCATTTTACATAGTTCTTTTCTTTACTTCTCACTTTGGTTTAATGATTTACTCTAGAAAAACAATAAATTGTGTGTGCAGTGATTTTTTTACCTATTGTATTTGGTTTGTCTATTATAAACTTTTATTTGTATATACTGCAAAGCTTATTAAAGCCATCTTTTAATTAAAACAAGTTGTTTTTGAAATGATAGCGCTTAAGATTATTGTGAAAGTTAAGAATAGAATAGAATTTCAGAAAAATGTGGAGAAGAAAGCTCTACACTAGCACTCCATTCCTTCCTGTTTTATATTTTTGTTGCCCCATATTACCCCTCTCAGTATTGTCCACCTTTTTTTTTTTTTGGTACCGGAGATCAAACTCAAGTCCTTACACTTGTGGGGCAGCCAGCAGAACCACTGAGATAAATCTCTGGGCCTATTGTCCATCTTATAACACAGTAATGTAGTTAGCATATTTTTAATTTTCTCCAGGATTTATGCTAAAGATATCAGCAGTATTTATAAGATATTTACAATATTGCAGCATTTTGAATTTGTCTCTATAGTTACTAATGTCAGGGAATTTATTATACTCTCACATTTTTTTCTTATTCATTAGTGTCTCTTTCAATTTGATGAATATATGGGCATTGATGAAGTATTTATTACAGTCTTCCAAATCTGATTTGAGTCATGTCCTGTCTATCTATGAATTCTAAGCTGCTTGTTTTCTCTGGGCCTTTATCATTTCCCACATTTCAGCAGTGGACATTGTCCTCATTCATTTATGACAGAGGTGTGCTGTTGGTGTGTTGTCACTGTTTCAGAAATAGAAGGCAAGCCAAGCACAGATTTGTCCCAACTCACATTTGGTGTGATTTTTAGCATGATGAGTGGACTACCTAGAAAGAATAGCCAATGCTGACAAACCTTTCATTAACTATAAGGCAGGTGCAAAGTCCTTGTCCACACTCTTCACCTCATTGTGTTCAGGAAGTTCAGGGTTCTACCTGTGTCCTAGAAGAATCACAATGGATGCACTGATTTAAACATTTAGGCCAATGTCATGGCTACCAGCATTGCAGTTCTGTGGCATACTCAAAACCCACAGTCTGCCAATATGACCACATCACTTGGATGGAACAAAGGTTCACACTGCTGTTGACTCTCTATTGTTGAGTTGGACTTCAGTCCAAGACCAATGCTAACAGCTACACGTGATACTGGCTGGAAGAGATATCTGAGAGATTTGGGCCACAGGTCTTGTAGCACTGTGGCTCTTTCAGATCCTCTGTCCACAGGCAGGCCTCATGGAGCTGTGTTTTACATCAGCCTCTCACATGTTTTCACAAGGCAGTTGCTAAATTCATTTCAGAGTTCTGAGCTTATAATTTGTCTTAGTTACATTTCTCTTGTTGCTGAAACAAAATAGGCAACATCCAAAGCTAAAGGAAGAAAGGCTTATTTAGCTCAGTGTTTTAGAGGTTTCAATCCACAATTGCCATATCCAAGGTAGGGTGGCAGAGAAATGGGGCATCATTTCATGGGGTGGAAGAGAGCAGAGGCAACAAGGAACACAGCAAGAGCAAAGGCCCTAAGGCACAAACTTGATTGATGTGAAGAAATGGCAAGAAAATGAATGCAGTAGAATAGGGGAAAACCAGGAGAGTGAGGAGAGTGCAAGGGAGAATTAACTGCGCTAAGTAGAAATGAATGGCACACATTAAAATTTGAAGTACTTACAGCAAGAAGTGTGCAATATTATTGGCTTTTAGGTTTGATTCTTAATCTGAATGTGTAGTGACATATGAATAGATGAAAAAGATGGCTGTATTTTCTGAATTTTCTTGTTCTATTTTATCCATTTGAACATTTGATCATGTTGAATGCACAGAATGATTTTGACATCAAAAATAAATATTAATTTACCTCAGATGTAAGATTTACTCATTGCTCATTAAATTCCAAGAAGACATTTCTTTCTTAATGTATCACATGTTTTCTCAAATTAAGACTATAGGAATATCATAAAATAGTCAAGAAATCTTAGCAAAAATTCTGTACTATTACCTACATCAAGTATTAAGATAGAGTTTTTAAACAGTACTGTTTTATTTGTGTTTCCCAAGTAAACCAGAATCAACAGAGCAGGTATAGACATGTAGAAGGATGTGTGTCGTGTGCACTGTTTATATTACAGGAAGGTGGTGAAATCCCAGGAATTTCCCACAGAAATCCTAAGCAGAAGGCTGGCAGGGGCTCACTGAGTCTAACATGAAGCCCCAAGACAGAGGAAGTGAGGGGCCTGGTGTGAGTGTGGGATACTGAAGACCAAGAAGGGGTAGAGGTCATTAACTGGTGTCTAAGAGTGTCAGAAGGGAAATGTCCTAAAGGTGGGGGGGGGGAGTGAGAGAGAGAGAGCAAGTGCTCTCTCTTGATGTTTTGTGCTATTTCCTGCAATGAAGAGGACAGATCTTCCTTACTAATCCTCTACATGAAATAACAGACTCTTTGAAAACACTCAGAGACACACAGAAAAAGTTGAAAATGTTTCCTCGCTACCTAAGTATCTCATTATTCAGCCAAATCAAGATATAAAATTAACTGCCACCAATAACAGATTCTATTTGGGTCTAATGTAACCTACCACATCCACTTCTATTTGTCATTGTGAGACAACTGTGGACATTGCTTCCATTTATGGGCATCTTTGAGCCTGTTATACACACATTTCAATTGACATGAGGTATAAAAAAGAACACCTGTGTAACACACACACACATCAATATCCTAAGGAATGCTTTAGGCACCAGGCTTTAGGATATTTTAAGCATTTTTACTCTCTATTTATTTCTGGACACAGTAGCTTTTTTCATGTTCATCAACTTTTCCACAAGTGAAAGAATTACTTCAATAATTTAATTTTAAAGTAGGCCTCAAAATGTAACACAATACCTGTAGAAAAGCTGAAAGAAAGAAACTCAGAGATGGTTCATCTCACAAACTTTCAGTCAAAATCCTATTCCTAACTGGGCCTCCAAAAACTGAATGCACTCTTGGCCTTTAAGAATGCGCTCTTGACCTCCTTGCTCCTCAGGCTGTAGACCATAGGGTTCAGCATGGGGATCACCATGGTGTAGAACACAGAGGCGATTTTATCAGTGTCCATGGAGTGACTGGATGTGGGCTGTAGATACATGGACATCGTAGTCCCATAGAAGATGGAGACAGCAGTGAAGTGGGAGGCACAGGTGGACAGAGCCTTGTGATGTCCTGCAGCTGAGCGCATCCTTAGAATGGTGCCAAAAATGAAGATGTAGGATGTTGTAATAACCAGGATGGCAAAACAGATATGAAAGCTCATAAGATAAACAAGAACCAGCTCAGTAACTTTTTTGTCAGAGCAGGAGAGAGCCATGACTGCTGGACCATCACAGAAAAAGTGATGGACCACATTGGAGCTGCAAAAGGAAAGGCTGAATATGTTGGCAACATGAATGCAGGCATTCAGGAAGGAGCTGACATAGCAGCCTATGAGGAGACCTACACACACATTTGTGGTCATGATGGTGGTGTAGTGCAGGGGTTTACACACTGCTGCATAGCGGTCATAGGCCATTGTAGTCAAGAGATAGTTTTCCACACCAATGAGGGCTGCAAACAGGAACATCTGAGCAGCACAGGCATTGTAGGAAATGACCTTGTTTCCTGTCAGGAGCCCACCCATGACTGAGGGAGTGACAACTGAGGAGTATCCAAAGTCCACCAGAGAAAGATTACCCAGGAAAAAGTACATGGGAGTGTGCAGACGAGTGTCCAGGAGGATCAGCAGGAGCATCCCCAGGTTCCCAGCCACAGTGATGGTGTAGATGAGGAGGAAGGTGATGAAGAGGGGAACCTGCAGGTGTGGGTCATCGGTCAGTCCCAGGAGGAGGAACTCAGTCACCTCTGTCCTGTTCTCCATCAGTGCTGTACAGAACCTCTACATGAGCTGCAGCAGTGAGAAAGAAGATACAGAAACATAAAGAAACTGAACTGAAATCAGAAAGTACAAGCACCATATGTAGTGTGAATCTTAGATGGATTTGTAAATGAAGATTCTCCAGAAGCAATTTCTTGAAAACGTAGCTCATTCTATTAATTGTATGTAGTTTTACAGGCTTTAATCTCTTAAAAATTTAATGGATCATCTATGTCATCTAAAAATGTTTAAATTTGTAAAATAAAATACAGATGGTTTAATACAGTAACTTGATCAAAAATTTGGTGGATGCGTCTGTCAGCAGATTCACTCCTCCTGATTACAGTAAAATCTGACACTTTCAAGTTGTTCTCCTACCATAAATTTGTCCCTCCACTTTAGATGTACATCCACTGTCTCCCTGCAGTGATAGTGTGGTTTGGATTCATTGTTTTTCTCATGTAAATTATGAATCACAGATCTTGGGTCACTCATTCACAGCTGCACAGATGTGGAATGGCAGTCTCTACTCCACACCCCCACTGAACTGTGACCTATGGTGACTAGGCCTGAAGTCTAAAGGTTTTTAAGTGAATTCAAGTCAAACTGAAATTAACTGAATTTGCAATAGCTCATTTTCTCCTTTCTTTCAAACTCAGTCTTCAGTTTTTATAGTGAACTGACTTATAAGCTATGTGTGAATTTCATCTGGAGATAAAACTAACCAAAAACACAAAAAACATGAAATGATCAATTCTTCAATGACAAAGTGTGTCAGTGAGTTAACAAGTTTTGAATGAAACTCGAAATTTTTCTGCCTTACCTCCTATTTGTTACCATGTGCACATCTATACATGTTGACAGTGATGTCATTAACAGCATCAACTTTTGCTCAAGTTGAAGAGGACTTTAACTCCTGACCCTCATGGCTCCCCTCTAGGCACAGGGGGTGTGGTGAGGTCACCAGGATGGAGCATGCACCCTGGCACAGGGGATTCCAGGGAAGGAGGAGCAGCAGATGCAGCAGAGCACAGAGTTTAGGCTCTGAAGGGACACAGGTCAGACCACACATTGACCATCCAGTAGTCATTAGTCCTCCATGAACTCCACTGAACATGACATTGCCATGTGCACAATAAACAGCAAGAAGACTGACTTTCAGGGATTATTGTGAGAATTAAAATGTATCTAAAGGCCAGTAAAATGGATGTAAAGCTCATTCTGATGAGTGGCAGCTCTCATGTTATTGGTAGGATGGAATAATGGTTTTGAAGAAGTTGTGACCCAGGTCTGTGACACTCAGGATTTTGGTTGCAGGTGACCTTGAAGTCTTAAGTTTCCCTCCCCAGTTACCTTTCCCCACACAAAGGACTCTGCAATTTTCTGTGCTCTCCAGTGCTTCAGGGTCTGGCTCCAATCCATGGATGAGTTTGAGGCTGCTGAAACTCCATGTAGGACATGTTTTGCCAAAATTGCTTCATCAAAATGCATATTCGAGTGTGAGAAAAATGTCTATTGTTCTTCAACTCAGTCTTTCACTCATTACTCTCATCATATAGCAAATTCACAGAAAGCTAGGGCTTAAATATTTTATTTGAATCTCTTCCTATGTGGTAAGAGTATTTAAAATTTGTAAATTTATTTTGCAATCTTTGGTAGGAAATTATTATTTCTCATCATCTTTTTTTTCTAAGCTTCTTTCAAATTACATTTATCAACCATCCCCATGAAGAAATTATTTCATCAAGTTTATCACACATGTTTACTTTTAACATATCCTATGTCCTGAAACACTTGGTAAACAATTTATATGGAAATGGTGTGAATGTGTTACATATAATATTCTTACATATCCATAAGTAAACAGCAGGACAGGGAATTTATGTTATGCTGCAAGATTATATAAGTAATAGGTAACTTGAGATCCAAGAGTGAAAGCTACATTCCAAGCATAAGCATTTAGGATTATACTAATTCATGTAGGCACCTTTTGCAAATTAAAGAAGAATCAGTTCACTATACTGGGTTTGTGTTTGTGTTTTTTTGAAACTCCAAGTGAGATTCAAATATATGGCAAGACAGATAATGTCAGTAGCCACTCAAAGCATCATCTCTCTTCATTTTTGTTCATAGTTTTTGGCAAAGAAGCATTATTTGTCTTATGAATGGCCAAAGTCTCTATGAAAGCCATTTATACCACTGGCTCATTCAACATTTAAACAATATTTAGAGAACATCTTCATTGTTTAATAATGTATCATACGTAGAATTAAGACACTGATTTTGCATAAATTACATGTCTGACTAAAAGGTTTGTGGCACATAGAAGCTTACCAGTTTGCTAAGAGAGGAAAAACAGTCAGTACAGAATACTGCTCTGTGATCATGGACATATTTTCTGAACATTTCTGATGTTCTAGGAGAGGAGCTCCTTTGTCTCAGGCAGTAGTCACCCTTTCCAACATCCCTAAGGCAAGGTGGGAAAAAGGAAGAAGAGGATATTCACGTGGATCATGATGCACAGGTGCCATGAGTTCCATACATGTTACTGGAAAAATGACGTTTCTTATCTGTAAAATAGACATGTTGTGATTACTTCTCTCACAGAAGGGGGGCTGTAAACAATGAGAGGTCTCTAAGTCTCCTCTCCAACAGCTCATCCTTTAAAAGTCCCTTGATGTCACTTCCCTTTGCGGGATTTCCATGGCCAGGGCTGCAGGCTTCCAGCCAGTCCACAGGTCAGAAGCTCTCCTGCACTGGTGACAGGGACTCTCTATCTTGGATGGGACATTGAGGTCCAATAGCAAAGGCAGCAACACATCCATTCTCAACTGCTGTCAGCTTTAGCCCTGTCAGGATCCCAGAGGCTTCTACCTGGAGATTTGGAGATAATTATGAGCCACTGTGATCTCTGGAGATTTCCCCCTGAGGATACCTGCAGCTCCTCATCCCACCCTGTTAGGGAAGAAGACATTAAGCTGCCTTCAGGGACCAAGATGGCCACAAGTTTTAATTAAATGGGTTTTACACTGATAAGTGAAGACTTACATATTTTACATATTACAGAATTATTCTGAAATCCATGATTATAAAAATACCTTTCATATTGTTGACACCAAGATAAACAAGTCTGCTTCTTCAAATATTTATTGTTTCCTTACAGTGAACTCTGCCTTTCTTCTACCCACCTGAAGACTATAGTATATAATTGTTAGCGATTGTCATCCTACTCTGTAATACATACAGGAGCTCCCGTCCTCACAGTGACTGAGTAACAACTCTCTAACCTTCCTTATCCCTCCTTCTCCCTGCTCTCTCCAGCCCAACTCTGTTCACCTCTCAAATTTTGTTTTTTTGCTTAAATTCTTTTATTGGTACATTTTACATATATGATACATTCACATTTATCTTTGGGTGCTTGTATCTGTACATGATGTATCTTGGTTCTAACTTTTTCCCCATTACCTCTGTGACCTTCACCCCCTCCACCCTTCCTTATTTACACAGACTTTGTTTCCATTTTTTCCTTTTCTCATAATTTTTCCTTTGCCTTTTTCCTTTCCCCTACTCCTCCCACTTCCCCTACTTACTCCTTTGGAACTTTTCTTCCTATTTCAAATTATCAATTATTTGTTTTAATCATTTTAATCCTTATTTACACTTTCCGGTTCTCACACTAGAGAAACTATTCAGTATTTACACATGTGTGTCCTATTTACTTCACTTAAGTGTATGGCTTCAATATGCATCCATTTAGCTATAAATGTCTCTAGTTTCTAGTTCTTTATGGATGAGTAGTACTCCATTTGATTAAAAAACCACATCTTCTTAATCCAGTTTCCACTTGGTGGGCAGCTGGGCTGTTTCCAAACTTTACCTATTATAAACTGTGCCTCTATAAACATGGTTGTGTGTATATCACTGTGGTATGATTCTTTTAATTCTTTTGGGAAGAACCCCAGGAGGGGAATAGCTGGGTCAATTGGGACCTCTAGCCCTAGTTCTTTGAGGTATCTCCATATTGATTTCTGTGGTGGTTGCACCAGTCTGCACACCCACCAACAATGGAGAAGGGTTCCTTTATCCCCACATCCCTGCCAGCATTTGTTATTGGTTAATTTCTTGATAGCAGCCATTCTTTGTGGGGTGAGGTGGAATCTCAGTGGTGTTTTCATCTGCATCTCTCAAATGACCAGTGATGTTGAACATTGTTTCATATGCTTATTTGCTGCTTTTACTTCTTTGTCTGAGAAATATCTGTTCATTTCATATGCCCATTTTTGTATTGGATCTTTAAATTTGGTGTGTCTGATTTTTTCAGTTGTTTATATATTTTAGATAATAGTCCTCTTTCTGAGGTACAGCTGCTAAATTTTTTTCCCCCACATTGTAGGTTGTCTCTTAACTCTGTCGGTGGTTTCTCTTGCAGTGCAGAAGCTTTTCAATAAGATGAGATCCCAATTGTGGATTCTTTGTGCTAGTTCTCATGCTACTGAAGTTTTCTTCATAAAGTCTTCCTATGCCAATGTCTTCAAGAGTTCTACCTAACTTATCTTCCAGCAAGTTTAGAGTTTCTGTTTTAGTATTTAGATCTTTAATCCACTCCAATCTTAGTTTAGTTCATGGTGATAGATACGGGTCTAGTTTTAATCCTTGGCAGGTGGAAATCCAGTTTTTCCAACACCATTTATTAAAGAGGCTATCTTTCCTCCAATGAGGGTGGTGGCCTCCTTTGTCAAAGATAAGGTGGCTGAGTATGTCTGGAGTTGTTTCTGCATCTTCTAATCTAGTCCACTGATCCTCAGGTCTGTTTCTCTGCCAGTACCATGCTGTTATTATAACAGTAGCTTTGTACTACAGTTTCAAGTTGGGGATTGTGATATCCCCTTCCATATCTCTGTTGCCTAGAATTGCTTTTAATATTCTAGATCTCTTCTGCTTCCAAATGAATGTTTGTATTGTTCTATCTAGTTCTGTGAAGTATATTGTTGGAATTTCAATTG